GGGCAGGGAAACGGTAGGTGCAGAATTCCTGAGTAGGGAGTTGGGCAGAGCAGGGCAGGAGGGTGGTCATGGAAGCCAAGAGTGAGTCACACTAGCAGGGAGGCCACCAGGAAGAAGTTAGTGGAGGGGCTTCAGCAGGATAAAGCCAGGCAGGCCTGGGATGGCCATGTAGTAGGGAGGAAACTGCTGGCAAGAGGAGCAAAGGTGTTTCTCAGCATATGTGAGCAGGGCTGACAGGCAGCTCTGAAGAGCCCTGAAGAGCCCTGCCCTACCCACAGGAGGAGAGTCTGGCTGACAGCTTCTCTGCCTTCTCTGAGTATGGGCTGCGACTACTGCGCCAGCTCCGAGATTACTTCCCTGCCACCAACAGCACGGCCGTCTACCGTCTAGAGCTGCTGCTAAAGTGGGTGCCACACGAGTTAGGGGTGGTGGTGAGGGGGTTGACCAGGGCAGATCCTAGAGGAGGACCTTCAGGAGGCTTGCACCATGACCACACACCTGCCCTCCAGGTGCCTGGACAAGCTGCAGCTCTTCCAGCCCTCCTTTGAGATTTGCCCCTTTGAGACGGAGCTGAACATGGACATCGCTGCTGCCCTGAAGGTGCATTTGGACCCCTCTGGCCCTGCCCAAACTTCGATTCATGACCCCTCCCCCACCTCCCCCTCTTCCCTCTCTACTCTACCATGCTGCCTGGTGGCTGCTGCTGCAGAGAGGCAACCGTGAGTGGTACAACAGGCTCCTGAACACCAACAGTCCCCGAGAACAGGTGGGGCTAGCAGGGTTTGGCCATGGTGGGTACAGGGGCCCAAGCAGTGGAATACAAGCCAGGCCTCCTTCCAGTCAGGGCCGCAGCGCCTCCCTGGGCTCGTGAAGCTAGCAGACATCATCTATGAGGACCTGCAAGCCTGCTATGGCATCTACGCCAGCCTCTTCCATGGGTAGGTCCTGCTGCTCAGCACCCACACCGAACAGGTGGGGCTGACGGGGCCTACAGGAAGGGTAGGTGGCTGAGGCATGTCCTTCACAGAATCCTCAAGGTGGACTTCTTCACCCTTACCTTCCGGCAGCTAGAACGTCTGGTAAGGAGGATCCCAACTGGGGGTGCCTGCTGGGCATGGGGGAGCAGGGAGAGCTAAGAAGGGCCCTGGTTCTTTCGTTGTTCTGACACCATCCCTCCACAAATCTGGGCAGTTGGCCGAGGAAGCGTGGGTGCTGACTGAGGAACTCAGCCCCAAGATGACTTTCCAGGTGGCCTCAGGGCTCTTTGAGCTGTACCTGACCCTGGCTGACACTCAGCGCTTTTGGAGTTATATCCCTGGCCGGTAGGCACCCCCAAGCCCCCGGCTCTTCCAGATAAGCACTGGGACGAAAACCCCAGAGTCCTGTGCTGGAGGCTGTCCTGGAGGTTTTAGTTGGGACATGCTCTGACCCCGTTCCCACCACAGGGATGGCCGCTCCCTGGCCCTGGCTGGCATCCATACCCCATTCCTGCCTGCTGTGAAGATCTGGCTACAGGTGTTACGAGACCAAGTCAAGTGGCGCCTCCAGGGAGCAGTGGATGTGGACACGGTGAGTCAGCACTTGGGCCTAAAGACACTGGGGTTCGTCCTGTGCCCCCTGTGATGCAGGCTGCCTCCTGCCTTCCAGCTGGAACCTGTGGATGCCTCCTCCAAGCACAGCAGCTCTGCGGCCACTGCGAGCCTCTGCTTCAGCCACATCCAGGAGCTCTGGGTCCGCCTTGCATGGCCTGACCCTGCTCAGGCTCAGGGGCTGGGGACTCAGCTCAGCCAGGTGTGGCACCTGGGGGGTGGAGAAATAGGTTGGGAGGACTTTGGGGCCTGGGAGAGGCTCCAGGTCCGAGTCCTCTGTTCCATCCCTACCCCAGGACATGTGTGGGGCAGTCCTCTTCTACACGGAGCTGCTGAGGAAGAAAGTGGACACGCAGCCTGGGGCTGTTGGGGAGACCGTGAGCGAGCCGGTGGGTGGCTGGCTGGGCAGGTGAGGTTACAGGTGGCTGGGTGAGGCTGCCTGACTGCACCCACCTGCCTCTGCCTACCCTCCCCAGCTTTGCGTGGTGCTCAACAATGTGGAGCTGGTGCGCAGGGCTTCAGGGCAGGCACTTCGGGGCCTGGGCTGGCCTGAGGGTGTTGTGGGAGTGGAGGCCACGCTTCCCCGCCACCTCCTCAGCTGCATACAGGCCTTGGAGGAGGACCTGCAGCGAGAGGCCCACACTGTGACTGCACACCTGACCTCCAAGGTGGGCAATGGGCCAGGCCCTGGTGTGGGGACTGTCCCTGGTATCCCCACCTGGTGCTAAGCATCACCCCTGCAGATGGTGGCTGACATCAGGAAGTACGTGCAGCACATCAGCCTCTCCCCAGACTCCATTCAGAATGATGAGGTGTGTGTTGGGGGTGTTGTGGATGTGAGTGTATATTACACCAGGGGCAGCTGGGTTCCAGGTTCTAGCTGGCTCTGAGGACCCCTGCCCACAGGCTGTAGCTCCACTCATGAAGTACCTGGATGAGAAACTGGCCCTGCTAAATGCCTCCTTGGTAAAGGAGAACCTAGGAAGGTATGGGTTGGGCAGGTAAGGGCTGGGCAGGTGGAGAGTGTGTGGACTGGCGGTCACCCATGCTGGGTCCTTGCAGAGTGTTGGAGGCCCTCTGGGAGCTGCTCCTCCAAGCTATTTTGCAGGCACTGGGTGGAAACAGTGACGTCTCTGCAGACTTCTATGGACGCTTCCAATTCACACTGGAGGTAGGCCATGCAGAACTCAAGGGACCTCTCCTGTCGCTTGCCCCTAGCCTCTCTGCCATCTCCAGGACTGAATAGGCAGCACTTCCTCCCCACAGCCCAGACCCACCCAGGACGACAGCTTTAGGGCCTCAGGGGCTGGCACCTTCCCAGGCTTCCTGGGACCTGATGCACCCAGGTGTGAGAAGTGGTTTGCTGTCCCTTCCAGACACCTCTTATTTCTCTGCCCCAGGCTCTGGTTAGTTTTTTCCATGCTGAGGGCCAGGGGCTGCCTCTGGAGATCCTCAAGGATGGAAGCTACAAGGTAAGGTCTGGCCCTCTGGGGGCCCAGCTGCACCAGCTGCCTTCAGACAGACCAGGAGCCTTGAGGCAGGGTAGCTGCTGCTTCAAAGGCACCTGGCTGTCTATGGCCAGTGCTGACCAGTATCACCGAGTCCCTTTCCCTGCAGAGGCTGGAGGAAGAGCTGCGGCTGCACAAATGCTCCACCCGTGAATGCATTGAGCAGTTTTATCTGGAGAAGCTCAAGCAGGTAAGATGGCTATTGTCTGCTGTCCATGCTCTGCTCCACCTCAGAACCCCAGCTCTGCTCACTCACCTTTCCCACAGAAGTCCCTGGAGCAGAACCGGTTTGGTCGCCTGAGTGTCCGTTGCTATTATGAGGCAGCAGAACAGCGGCTGGCAGTGGAGGTGCTGCATGCTGCAGACCTGCTCCCCCTGGATACCAATGGTGAGGCATGGTGGTGGCAAGTATCAGGGGCTTGGTGGGAATGACTTGGTCATGGCCATGTGCTCCCCCAGGCTTGAGTGACCCTTTTGTGATCGTGGAATTGGGACCCCCACATCTCTTCCCGCTGGTCCGCAGCCAGAGGACCCAGGTCAAGGCCCGGACACTGCACCCCATATATGATGAGCTCTTCCACTTGTGAGTGCCCCTGGGTGCCCCACCCTATCCCACAAGGTCACAAGTGGTTCCTGACTATTCCCTAACTGCCCTACCCACAGTTCTGTGTCTGCAGAAGCATGCCGCCGCCGCAGCGCCTGCGTGTTATTCACTGTCATGGACCATGACTGGCTATCCACCAATGATTTTGCGGGGGAGGCAGCCCTTGGCTTGAGTGGGGTCAGCGGCATCTCGAGACCCCAAGTGGGTGGGGGAATGAGAGCAGGGCAGCCTATCACCCTGCATCTGCGCCGGCCCAGAGCCCAGGGTGAGTGAGAGTAAAGAGGCGGTCGTGTCAAGGGAGGGGAGGTGTGGCCCCCACATGCCCGCTCACCTGCCCACCTACCCGCAGTGAGGTCAGCGCTGAGGATGCTTGAGGGCCGCACCAACAAGGAGGCACAGGAATTTGTCAAGAAGCTCAAGGAGCTGGAGAAGTGCATGGAGGCAGATCCCTGAGCACACACCCGCCCAACAAGCTATCCAGCTTTGTGCTCCCTTTATCCGCTGCTGTGTCTGAACCCTGTGGCACCACTACCCCCTTTGGTGTATGCTGCACGCTCCTTGTGCCCCAGCATGCCCCCCTAAATATGGGGGTCAGCTTGGAAGCAGCTGGCCAGCAGCGGCCCCTGGACTCACAGCAGAACAGAATGGACTTATCAGGTCATACCCCTCCTTTGGGCTCACAGGCAGTAGAACAGTGGGCAGGTGGGCAGGTGGGCAGGTGGTTCCAGTGGTCTCCTGTTCCCTAGGAGTCATTAGGCAATGTCTGAAGACTGTGGTCACACTGGGATGTGAAGGTGTACTAGTTCCAGAGGGTGGTGGCCAGGGATGCACCTCAGGATCCTGCATCAGTTATCCCCCAAAGAATGGCCCATCCCCACTGCAAGTAGTGCCTCCATGGAAAGCCCTTCTTGGAGGAAACTACCCAGTCTCCTTGGGTAGGCTCCCAATAGTCAAGGGATAGGAAGGCTGTGGGTCACGTTTAGGAGACCCAAGAATGGAAGGGAAGCAATGGCCAGGCCTCCAGGTGGAGGTCACGGGCAAGAAAGTGCTATGCTCACTCTCCCTCTGGCTGTGGACCCCACCCACAGCGAGATGAACAGGGGAGACTTGCTGGGAATCAAACCTCCCAAGTAGACTACTGGGCCTGGAAGAGGTCCCCCCATGGTCACTGTGAGGTAGGGTATGTCACCTACAGCTCAGCCAGCCAGCCATCCTTTCAAGTACATGTGTGATCCCATAGCCCAAACCCACCCAGGTAGTCCCCAGCCCCCATGCTAAGTGCACACAAACACTGGGGACTCATTCTCAGTCCGCAGCTTCATTGAGGGCTCCAAATAACTCCAACCCAGCAAGCCTATCCCTGTGTTACAAGGCCCACACTGTCCACAACTGCAGAGGGTACCACTGCCAGGCCTGTCTACCCTTGTGTCTCACTGCTGTCTCTGGAGTCCTTACTACCTTGCTTCAACAATGTGTCTGCAACCTTCAGACTCGGCCGTTTCTTGATTCCTTTCTAAATCTCACTTGAGGCCCTGGCCTCATCCCCTTGTTCCTGAGTCTCCTCCTGAGAGCAGCTGTTAGTTTCTCCATCCTTGTCTTCAGGCTCTTGTTCTTCAGACTCATCACTATCATCTGTGTTCGTGGGTAGCCTGCGGGGAGAGGGTATGTTCCTTCATGGTGTCAACCCTGGTCAGTCCAAAGCAGCCTCTGTGTCCTCACCCACAAAATCCCCAGGCCAAAGACACCTCTCTCACTCCCTGATAAGCCAAACCCTCCCTGGTGGATGTCTGCTTTACACACTCAGTCACTACTCAGCTATTATTTAGGACACCCCCATGTGCAGGGGCTGAGGCCAGGGGTCAATGGAAGCCAGGACCTACCGGATAGTAGCCACAGGCCTGTTGAGATTTGCAAACTCTCGCCCTGAATCCACGTCAAATGGGTCTGAACCAAAGGAGGAAAGAGGAAGGTGAGCTCTAAGCCCAAGGCAGATAAAATCCTACCCCAGGCTTTTCAGGAGGCACAGGTCTGGAGGGGTTCCCATTCATGCAAGCCTCACCAATTTCCTCCTCCTCAGGGGCTTCCTTGGCACAGGCCAAAAACTCCTGCTCTGCTTGTAGCACCTCCTCAGGTCCACTGCAGGCCGCATACTTGTCCAGGAGCTGATGGTTCAGGTCCAAGAAGCCTTTGCCCCACTTAAATTTCCGCAGCAAAATGACAGCAAGATCTGAAAAGCCTGATGGCACAGAAAACCTGAAGCTCTCAATAATCCCTCGAGAATAGTGGTGGCAAACCTATGGCATGTGAGCTGCTGTGAGCTGTTTTTATCACTGAAAGATCTAGAAGTTTCACCATTACGGCTCTAGAGAGTATGTCTTTGTAACCCTGACTGCTGGGCAGTGCTACTGCGGCAGAGGACTGAGCGTCCTCACCAGACAACAACTAAGAGTCATGTCACTCCATGCCTGCCCTCCAGCCTCTGTCTTGGTACAACCCCCATCTCTGCCACCCCTAGGTCTCTCCCCTTAGGTGAGAAACACAAGAGTCCCACCAAGCCTGTCCTCACATCTCATGGGCCTCCATCTAGGTCTGTCCTTGGACCTTAAATTCTATGGATTCTCAGGGCAGTGCTTCCTTGACAGATGCCCCTGCCCAGCTGTTTGGCAGCCCTCTCATTATGCCTCCACTCCAATTCAACAAGGCCCCTGCTCTAAGTAGGAGTTGGGATTGAAAGGCTATCCTGATGTCTAAGGGTTTGCTCTGAGCAACCGCAGTCAGATCAGCAGACCAGAATGTCAGGTTGGGCTGATGGCAGGCCTGAAACTCACCCACAATATAGATGGCAGCAGCAAAAGCTTCCACGCAGGAAAGTCTGCAGGGCCTGCCATAGTTCACAGAGTTCGCAGCCACCAGGTAGGGTAGCAGTCGCAAGTGATTCCCTCGCATCTTCCCAAAGGGTGTCTCATCCAGTCTGGCCCAAGAGCAGTCTATGACAGCAACTCCAGCCTGAGCCACCAGCTGTCTGCCAAGGACAAGATGGTAAATTCTATGCCAGCAGCACTTGGATGATGGCCTCAAGTGACATACGTTCCTGGAGACACTTCGCTAGGGATACAGGACATCATTTCCTTATCCCCAAATACCTACAGAAGGCCTTTGTGGGTAAGCTTTTGAGGCAGTTGCTGGTGGTACCTGAAGAATGCTTATTCACTCACTAAACGTTTATTTTAGGCTCTCCTACATCCTAGGCAAGAAAGCAAATTAGACAGACATGCCCCTGCTCATGTAGAGTATGTGTGCACGACACACAAGAATAATACGTGAACCCCGAAGGGTATGACGCGCTGGAGACAGGGTAGCTTACAAAGACCAGAGAGGTGAGGGAGGTACCACCCGCTGCCCCAACTACCCAGGCCTCCCACATGTACCTGTCCGCCGGAGACACATACTGGGAGCCCACGGGGCTGAGCACCAGCCCGCCGAACCTGTGGCCGAGGCGCAGGCTGCGCACCAGGCCCAGGCGGGCCAGCTTGCGGCCCGTGCAGCGCCGAGGGTCGCAATGGCCCAGATCCCACATGGCCAGCGCGAAGGGCAGAGTGGTTGGGCTCGGGTCGCCCTCGTCCTCGGCGGTCTCTGGCTCATCGGAGGCTGCACCGGGGAGAGAAGGGTCACCGCCTCAGCGCGGGATCCCAGGGACGGCCCCACCCACCCTCCTAATCACTCTCCACTCACCGCGCAGCGCGGTGCCCACCTCTTCGACGAAGGTCTCCAGAGAGCGGCCCTGGGGACGGCGAACGCGGCTGCCCTCCGCCCCTGACCCGCGCGTCGCTCGCCGGCGGCCCATCGCGGGGAGCACAAATCCTGAAGTCTCAGAAAGCTCTTCAGCCACCTCCCGGAGGCTGCGCCCTAGCCAGGGCGCCACTTCTGGCTTGCGTCGCTCGGGTGACGCTACTTCCTGCTCCCGTTCTCACGTGAACTAGCTGCTACTCACGTGACCGCGCGGCGGCGCGATGGCGGTGCGGCTTTCGGTGTTCCTGTTACAGCTCGGGCTTGCTGTGAATGGTTAGTGTCACCGACTCCATCCCCTAGTCCAATCCCTCCCTCCCTCCCTCGGGTCTTCCAGCTTCCCCTCGCGCTTCCTCACCGCCTCCCTACTTGTAGGGCCTGCGCGGACAGGTGCTGCGAAGATGAAGGTGGTGGAGGAGCCCAATGCGTTCGGGTGAGCGCCTCACAGGTTGGCGGCTCCGGGCGGGGGCCTCCGGGACAATTCCCTGAATTGTCGTTTTCCTAGGCTGAACAATCCGTTCCTGCCCCAGGCCAGTCGCCTGCAGCCTAAAAGAGACCCTTCGCCCTTGACAGGTGAGCCTATCCGCCAGCGAGCGGGCAAGCTGGCTTGGTTGCCGACGGAGGCGGACCGGGTTTCCATCTTAAGCGGGTCGGGGAGAGCCCTCCGATCAGGAGGGAAAGGTGGCTTTTGATGAGAAATCCGGAGTTGCTTCTTGAAGGCTCATGTGTTCGTTTGTCGATCTGTGAATGTCTAAGTGTGGGAGAATATATCTGAACGTTCTTGTACCGAGTTAGGTTGGCCCCAGACCTAGTCCTTTATTCAGTCTTTTAGAGTTAGGCGTTCTCAACTGTTTGGTGTCTTTCCAGGGGCGTTTTGGTGGGCGTAAGTGTGAAAACATTCTAAATGTTTGCGATTTTTTTTTTTTTTTTTTTTTTTTTTTTTTTTTTTTTTTTTGAGACAGGGACTGGCTATGTTGTTCTGGCCAGCCTTTACTTGTGTAGCCCAGACTGGCCTCAAGCTTGCTGTGATCCTCCTGCCTCAGCCTCCTAAGTGCTGGGATTACAGGCATGCGCCACCAGAAGCTTCCCCCCACCCAATTAGTAGTACATATAGGTGGCTGGCTAATTTGTCTTTGTCATTACTTTGTCGTTTATCACTCACTCTGTCCAGGAGCTCTTCATGGTCCTACATATAGGTCATCATTCTTTTTGCTTAGTATTCCGCAGGATAGCTTTATACACCTTTTTTTAGCAGGTATAGGTGATTTACATTTAGGGGTATTAGAAATAATGCTATGAAGAACATCCTTGTAGATGACTATCTACCCTAGTGCAAGTGGGTTCCTAAGGCAGAATCATAGAAGTTGAAGCCTGAGTCATAGGATGTTCGTTTTGTTTTATTTATTTGTTGGTTTGGTTTTTTGAGATAGGGTCTTGGTACGTAGTCCAGGCTGGCCTCTAACTTGGGATCCTCATAGTTTCCCTAGTGCTGAGATTTCAGGTGTGTGCTTACATGCCTGGATGAGCGCCCACACTTTCTTACTGAATACTTCTATGTGTTAGCATCTGTGCTGGATTTGCCCAAGTGAAACATCCCAGGACTCAGGTCACAAGGCAGTGCTGGATCAGACTGTTGCCACTCACAGAGGAGAGTATTTTAAGTTTGGTGTACTGCTCATTTCTCCAACACCATAGGTTGGCTTTGGCATTTTATGCTCCTGAGTTGTGGGTCTCCTTAGCACCACCATTGAGTCCCTGGCTATCACCAGAGGAGGCAGCTGTGCTCCTCTGCTCTGCCCTTCTTTCATGGGCAGGTAGCTTCAGGGGCCTTCCTCAGCCCTCAGCCTTGTTCTCTCTTTAGCTTTGTCACATAGGTTACTACAATAGAAACAAATCCTAATCTGGAGTTTGGCATATACCTGTAATCCCATCACGAGGGAGGCTGAGACAGGAGGATCGCTGTGAGTTGAAGGCCAGCCTGGGCTACCTAGTGAGACCCTGTCTCAACAACCCCCTACCCACCCCTCAACCCTGCCAAAGAAAAACAACCCAAAAATAAATCCTAGGGCTTAGGGTGTGGCTCACTGCAGAGCATTTGTCTTGCCTTCAAGAGCCCCTGGTTCCATCCTCAGCAGCAAAAGACCAAAAATGTAAAACACCCTATTTGCCATTTTTTTTTTCCAATTTGCCATTTAACCACCTTAAAGTGTACAGTTCTGTGGCATAACTTTGGGTTAAAATTGTGTTCCATTAAGCAATTCCTGGCTTCTCTCCCCAGCCCTAGCTGCCACCACCCTACTTAGTGTGGATTTTTTTTTTTTTAAATCTATGGATCTTAAAAGTGAATTGGAGGGTATTTGTCCTTTCCTGTGTGGTGTATTTTGCACAGCATGTTGTGTCTTCAAGGCCTGTGCACAGTGTTGCAGGTATCGGAACATCACTTTTTTTTATGATGAGAAACATCCCACTGTGTAGCCAGAGCACACTGTGTATCTGTTCGTCTGCTGTGTCCACCTCTCTATTGCGACTAATGCAGATGTGAATGTGGTGTTCCACTATCTGTTCCACCCCCTGGTTCCAATTCCCAGGAGTAAAATGGACTCAATCATAACTGAGTTCCTTAGTTACTTTCCTCATGGCTGAAACACAAAACTCGACATCCACGACTTGAAGGCAGAGGTTTATTTTAATTCACAGTTAACAGGCCAAGGTCACCTGGCTCCAAAGTAGAATGGCATGACAGAGGAGCATTAACAAAGAAGGAGCTGCTCACATCATGGTGTCCCAGGAGGAGCGAGAAAGGAAAATATAAACCTTCCTGGTTATGAATCTCTTCTGATGCATAACCCACCTAATAGCAAGACAGCTATAATGCCCCTATAATCCAATCATATTTCAAAGATCTTGACTATTCATGGGGCTTTGTAGAGACATCTAAATATAAACCATGACACTGAGGAACTGCCACACTGAAACGGTACCATTTTTAGGGTTGTCTTTGTTTTTTTGAGACAGGGTCTCACTATGCAGTTTAGGCTGGCCTTGAATTCAAAATAATCCTCCTGCCTCAGCCTCCCAAGTGTTGGGATTACAGACATGTGCCACCATGCCTGGCTCTAGGGTTGTCTTTTGATGCACAAAAATTTTTCATTTTGGTGGCCTGTAATCCCAGCACTTGGGAGGCTGAGGCAGGAGAAATTGTTGTGAGTTTAAGGCCAACCTGGGCCACATATTAAGTTCAAGGCCAGCCTGAACTACATAGTGAGATCCTGTCTCAAAAAAAAAATTTTTTTTTTTTTGGTTCAGTTTGTCTGATTCTGCTTTTGCTGCCTGTGCTTTAGTTATAATACAAGAAACCACTTCCAGATTCAGGGCTCAGAAGCTTCCCCTCCATTTTCTTAAAGAGTTTTAGCTATATGTGTTCGACCTATTTGTATATGCCATGAAGTGAGGGCCCAGCTTTCTTAGCAGTGAGACTGATCTTTCCTCACTGAATCGTTTTGGTAGCCTTGTCAAATCATTTGTGTATTTGAAGATTCCTGTCTGGGCTTCTTATGCTCCTCCATTGGTCCAGATGCCTGTCTTCATGAAAACCCCAAGTATGATTCTTCCAACTGTATTCTTTTCAAGACTGTTTTTGTTACTTGGGGCTCTTTGAGATACCATATGAATTTAAGGATGGATTATTTTTAGTTTATTTAAAAAAAAAATTTAAAGCAAAGAGGGATATTTCTGTTTCTATAGTGTCATTATAATTTTGATAAGGATTGCACTGAATCTCTGCTTTGAGTATTGTCATTCTAAAATACTAAACCTTAAACAGGTTTTTTCCATGTATTTATGTGTTTCAGCAATATTTTAGTTTCCAGTGAATAGGTCTGTTTTGGCTTCTTGGTCAAATTTACTGCTGTATTATTCTTTAAGATGCTATTATAAATGGAATTACTTTTTTTAGATTACTTTCTTTGGTTGTTACGGTTTAGATCTAAAATGCTCCCCAAAATTCTTAGTGGTTCATCCACTGACATGGTCAGTAGTTGAACTGCTGTTAGGAGGTAGGGGTGGCTGAGGCAGGTCTCTCGGCTTCTTGTTTTCACTGCTTCCATGTTTGAGTACCTTTTCCTCACCATGCCTCTCTGCCAGCCTTGCCCCCAGCCAATCTGGGACTGAAACTGAGCCAAAACAGACCTTCCTTCCTTTAAGTTGTTGCTGTTGAGTGTTGTGTCTCAGTGACAGGAAAGTAACTAAGACTGTGGTGGCGCACACCTGTAATCCCAGCAGTTGGGAGGCTGAGGCAGGAGGATTGTTGCGAGTTCGAGAGGAGCCTGGGCTACAAAGTGAGTTCAAGGCCAGCCTGAACTGCATAGCAAGACCCTGTCTCAAAAAGGCAAAAAAAAAAAAAAAAGTAACTAAGACACTGGTATCTAGATCTGCAGTCAAATGGTCTATGCCTGAACTATACCCCTTGATGACACTGGTATCTAGAAATGCAACTTTTTTTTTTTTCTTGGACCGGGTTTCACTATGTAGTCCAGGCTGGCCTCAAACTTGTGGTGATCCTCTTGCTTTAGCTTCCTCAATGCTGGGATTACAAGTGTGCACACCACGCTCAGCACAACTGATTTTTGTTGGCTATAATTTTGTTCATTAGTCCTAGCAAGGTTTATCGTGGGACCTTTAGAGTTTTCTACATAGGAAACCAGGTTATCCACAAACAGGTGATAACAGTCCTTCCTTGCTGTTGCTCTGGCTGCATAGCAGTGCCCAGTGTGTCCCTGTTCTGCTCCTGGCCTCGGGGGAAGAAACCTGCTGAGTGTGGCATCAGCCTATGTGACCTTTACAAGGAAGTCCCTTTCCATTTCTCATTTGTTGAGATTTTTGTTTGCTTTAAATCCCAAAAGGGTGAATTTTGCTAAGTGCTTTTTCTGCACTAATTGAAATGATCATGTGGTTTTCCCTTTTGTTCTGTCAGTGTTGTAAATTACATGGATTGTTTTCCTGTATTCAGGGAGAAAAACTTCACTTAGGGTATTAATCTTTAATCTGCTGAATTCAGTTTGCTAGTAGTGTGAGTGTGTACATGTGTACATGTATTGCTAGGGCTCAAACCCAGAGCCTTATACCCAGTGGGCACATATCCTATCACTGAGCTACATCTGCAGCCCTTTATTTAAGAGACAGGGTCTTAGCCAGGTGTAATGGCACACCGCTGTAATCCCAGCACTCAGGCAGCTGAGGCAGAAGGATGGCTGTAAGTTTGAGGCCAGCTTGTGCTACATAGAGAAGTAGAAGACCAGCCTGAACTATATAGTGAGACCTTGTCTCAAAACAAAACAAAAACCAAGAGACAGGTCTTGCTGTTGCACTGGCTAGCCTCAAACTCCTGAGCACCAGTGATCCTCCTGTCTTAGCCTCCCAAATAGCTGAGATGATGGATGTCATCATCATGACCAGCTAGTCTGCTGTTTTGTTGAGGACTGTAACATCAGTGTTATCAGGATATTGGGCTCCTGTGGTGTCTCTTTCCGGCCTTGATATCAGAATAGTGTTGGCCACACGATCTCAATTGTCTGCAAGATTGACTGTTATTAGTTCTTTAAAATGTGTGGTAGAAACTGTTGGTGAAGCTGTCTGCTTAGGCTCATCTTTATCTGGAGGTTTGGGGTTACACTTGTTTTTTACCCTCTGTGGTGCATTTCAGATGCTCTGTCTACATGGTTCAGCCTGGGAAGCTGTGTTTCCTGATACATCATCACTTTCATGTAGGTCGTCAGTTTTTTGGTGCATAATTGTTCATACTGTTCTCCTATCCCTTCTGTAAAAACTGTTGTGCTAGCTGCCTTTCATTTGTGATATTAATGATTTCAGTCTTCCTTTTTTTCCTGGTCAGACTATTTTATCTTTTCAAAGAACCAACTTTTGGGTTTACTTATTTTTTCTATTTTACTTATCTTTGCTTTACTATTATTTTCTGCCTTCTCCTTCCTGTGGGCTCAGTTTAATCCATTTTCTGGCTCTTTAACATGTAAAACACCTTACTGACATGAGTTTTTTTTCTTTGAATGTACAGTATTTATAGCTGTATGTCGCACTCTTACCCTGCCCTTGCAGTTCCATAAGTCTTGAGATGTGTTTTCATTTTTGTGTCAAGGTGTTCTCTAATTCTCATTGTGGTTTCTTCTCTGACCCACTGCTTAAGAATGTGTTAATTTCCACGTATCTGTGATTTCTAGTTGCATTCCTTTCTGCTCAGAAAAAAATGTTCCGTACGATTTCAGCGCCCCCCCCCCCTTTTGGTAGTATTGGGAATTGAACCCAGGGCCTTCAAACTGAGCTCTATCCCCAACCCTTTCTTATCTGAGGCAAGGTCTCACTAAATCACTACATTGTCCAGGCTGGGCTCGTGGTTTTTTGTTGTGTTTTTTTTTTTTTTTTGGTTTTTCTCC